TCCCCAGCCAGCCATGGCTGGCTGGGGAATTCTGGGAGTTGAAGTCCACTCATCTTAAAGTCGCTGAGCTTGAGAAACACTGCACTAATTCTCTGTTTAACACACCCAAATGTCGTATCTGACTATTAAATATCAGTCACAGGAACATTTTAGGGACGGTGATGGGGAAAAGGCCTCTGGTTCATTCTTCCCAGAGGATATTTAGGTCCTGAATTCAGCTGGATCCTTTGCGATGCCAACCTGATTTTGCCAAACCGCAATGCGCAGAGGTCAGTGCCACATCGGCCCAGAATTCGGACCAGTGCCGTCGCAGTTCCACCGAAGGCAGGCAAAGAGCGTGTTCCAAGTTTAGCGTTCCCAGGAGTCACACGTCTTTGTAAGGTGAAAAAGTAGAGCTGAATCTTTGTTACTCACGTGCACGACATCCTCTTGCCAATAAGATTTTTTTTTTTTTTACATTTTGGTGGTTTTATCCTGCGTTCAGCTGTTTTTAATTGTTCGCCGCCCAGAGTCACGTATGTGAGATAGGCGACCATGGATGTTTGTTGAATGCATTGATTACATTCTGCGCCTTTTTCCTACCCATCTTCGTGCAATTTGGTGAAGCAGAATTTGCTGCGTGAATTTGTCAGGGGGGGGAGAGTTAGAAGAAAAGGACGTGGGTGCCCGTGGGTGGTTTTGCACCAATTTGGTTATTTATTCCATCTATTTAGTTTCTCATTGCACAGTCCTCTGTTCGGAGATCCACTGTTTCTTGGCATACCGCGCTTCTGTTCCCAAGGGGCGGCATCCAGAGGGAGGGTGGTCAAAGTGGGCAAGATGGCGGATGCAGCCTCACGATGTGTCCAGCATCTTGCCCGTTTTGACACACACCTCTGTGTAGGCCGCTAATCCCAAGAGAAGCCACCAGGAGGGAAATCCCCCCACCAGGGCACTGTTTTCAGTACCCTTGAGAAATTGCTGGAAAACGTCCCCGTACTCTGGAGTCCGCTCAATTCTACCTACATTTTTGGAGATAATTGTGACCGTGTGGCCCACTGGCCGTTAGGCCACAAAAAAGGACACCATCCAGGTGACCGTGGCTGATCTTGCAAAGCATCAGACCTGCTTACTGCTTGGATGGGAGACCACAAAGAGATCTCAAGCTTGTAAGCTGGGTGCAGAAGCTGAAAACACAACTCAGGGGCAGGCAGTAGCTAACCACTTCCATATTGTTAACTAGAAAACAAGCTTGATAACTCTGTGTATTCACCAGAAGTTGAGTTTGATTCATGCGAGATTTTACATATACTTTACTTTACCCACCTACTGTCTACATCCTGCTTCCATCTTTCCATCTCCTTTCCACCAGTGACTTAACATCTATGTATAAGGTGGGTGTAGTAAAAATAATGAGGACTAGAAACTTGCTAAACTAGAATAGCTGAGTGACCATGCTGTCTGGAGTCACATATGGTTTCATCTTGTGAGCTATTGGCACCCTTTTGCAAAATGTGTTTTTAGATGATTGACAGATAAATAGATGACAGACAGACAGATGATAGATTATTAGATATAGATGATGTTGATGATAGATGGATAAATATAAGATGAGAGAGAGAGATTATGGGGAAATCTCTTAATGATAAAATGTTATGTTGCATTATATTCAAAAAATGTGAAATTTGACCTTTGCTGAGGAACTTTGGCTATATCAGGCACGGGGAACGGCTAATAGAATTATTTTGAGAATGGGGAAGTATTATTATTCCATGTATTAAGGATTGGATTCAGGACCTGTGTAATTTATCCGTTTTTTTCCTTAAATTTTAAAATACAAATAATAAATTGCATTCTTTGGGTACAATGGTATTTATACAATGTTGACTAGAGGTTATTAACGCTCTGAGGATTTAGATCACTTAAACCTTTAAAAATAAAGAAAATAAGTTTATATCAGTATTAACTATGATTTCTAAAATATTAATGTTAATAAGCCTAAGGTTGCTTAGATCTTATTTCTAAAGCTGAGGGTGGCATCGATAAACAACTGCAAAATCCGTTAAATTATTTATTATATGCTAAAG